GGTAAAATTATCTTAAGTTTGTATACATTCCGCATGATTAATTTTTTCCATATACATTTCGTATACATTAGTTTTTTAAAAAATGTTCAAAAATGAATTGCTTATTAAATATACGGAATTTGTATACGGAATCTATAAAAACGTACATAAAATGTATACAAAACGTATCCTTTCCGTATACATATTTCTTATAGGGCGTGATAAACTAAAATTTGCAACAAAGTCTTGTATCCATATAAATATTTTATAAAATGATTTCTCACGTCAAAATACTAATTAATAAACAACCCTAACACAGTAAAACAAATCAAAAATCAGATGATGAAAAAATTTTGTTCTTAAAAATAAAAAAATCCGGTCAAATTAAAGTAAATTTTGATATGAAAAACCAATTTGTTTTAACTTAATAACGGCTTTATATTTTAAATTGCCAATTTTAAAGTTTTTTGAATAAATCAATTTCATTATAAATATACAATAATTTACAAATTCAATAAATAAAGCATGGTCAGCTTTTTTTTTGTTACATAACTGTCCATAATTCTGGCCAGTTCATTAGCCTCTAATCTTGAATTAGTTAGTTTAATAAAATGTATAATAATATAACTGTGCATGTATACATATTTATTGTGACAATATAGCATATTATTTATAACTGATAATAAGAATATACATTAATACAAATATGCATAATTTCACAAAATCAAAAAGAATTATCAAATTGTATCCATACTTCTTAATTGCAAAGAATTATGAATTTATTAAAATTTATTTAAAATAACTAATTAAATCTATATATAAAAACAGAAGAGAGATGAAAAGAATATAAATTAATTATGAATTGAGATAATAAATTATATATAAAGCTTTGTAAATCAACATTAAAATCAAAGTATAAACATTCAACAAATATTAAATTATCGGCCAAGTTGCTAACTAATGAACTCTATCAAGTTTCCAAAATTAGATCCATGACACACTACATAGACAACTCAACCAACATCTCCATATTACAATACCATAGTTTAAATTCTTTAAGATATAATTTATTCTTAAATAAATCTTTACAATGATCAAATCCTTCACAATATAAAAATTCAAGATGTTCTATGAATGATAAAACAAATTGTTGAAAATCTATACTATCAATTACTAACTCTTTTAAAGTTTCTTTTCGAAATTCTAATTCCAAATTAGAAACTTTAATTAATATATTTTCTATAAAGGTTGTAATTTGATGATATCTAAATGTTGTTTTGCGAATACACCATTTGCTTATGAACCATCTCCTGACAGGACATTCCCCCTAATGGTATTCTGATGTTTTTCATCATCAGTTATTAAATCTAAATTAAATATTGTTAAAGATCTAATCCAGGTTCATAATTTGTAAAAGCGGAACCTTTAGGTAAGTCAACAAAATTTTTCTGTGTTGCATTTACTTCAAATTCCTGAAAGGTTGTACTTTTTCTAATAATCATATGATATATTGCATCAATAAACTTTTGAATCCTATTTGATAATTCAATCTTATTGTAAAGGGAATTAATGATCATATGCTTGTCCTGGGAATAAAATTGTTTTTCTCTCTTATCAAGAAAATAGAGTATGTTTCTAGAACATTCAGTGGATAACAAAGTCATGATTTTTAATAAAAAAAATAGGAACGAAATTTGAGTTGATAGTTGACGCACAAATTGACATTTTATAGCGTCTAAGGTGGTACCGGAGAACCTATAAGGTTAGAGACATTTTGTTGATCATGTCAATTAATACCCTTATTAGATTTTTAATAAATTATATGATTTTATTTAACTGTAACATATTATCCCCCCTTCCCCATTTAATAAATACGTAATAGGTTTCCTTATTAATAAAACAGATGTTGTTCTCCTATTTTCCACGGTCTATAAAAAATTTTAATATTGTGTTTGGTTAAATAAATATATATATTATATTGTTTCCGCTAACGTTCTACAAAAATATTTTATTATTTTCTTAGTTTTAGAAACTTTACATGGAATAAACCTCTTTAACAAAGAAAACAATTTATAAATTCTATAGATTCATCGGCAATAATAGATGATTTTAAATAATATTTATCGTAATAATATGAATAATGTGATATATACTATATATAATATAATATAACATAAGTATTATTATTATATATTTTTTTTTTGAAACATTTAATTTTATCCAGTAAAACTTGTTTCAAGATTAAAATTAAAATATTTTGAAAACATTAAATAAAAAAATACGAATTTTTTTAGTATTTACCTCTTTCAAAAAATATTTTTAGCATATTAAAGATTTTTAAATCTTTTTAAAATGACAATTAAATTATCATTAGGATTATAAAACCAGGTTGCTTGATATATGACGTCTCCGTGTATCTTTCACAATTATTATCTTCAATATTAAATGAAACAAAAACAAATCGGTACGGGACTAGATTTTAATTTTGGTGTTGGGTTAAAAGAATTTTCTTGATTTACGTTTATTAGTTCCATTTTTGTTTATGAATACTGTATTGAAAATTCGATATACAGTTTTCAAATTCTTAAAATAATGAATTACTTAATTAGCGTACACATATATAGAAGTTATGTGAGGAATACTTTGTACATTGTGTAATGATGATCTACATGTACATATCTACCGGTATCGGACATTTTGCCGAAAGCCATTTCGCCGAAAAATAATCTCTGATCTGTCTGCATATTGTTGGCCCTATTTTTCGGCGAAACGTCCTTTCGGCGAAGTGGCTTTCGGCGAAATGTACCGTAACCATATCTACCCCTATTTGTTACAAAGTGCGGAAAAGTTTATTGTCCTTTTACGTATTGGTATGAATTACAATTTATATTTTTAAGGCGCAGTTTGAAAAATGATCCGTGATCTCATATTTCATTGCTATAATTATCAAGGGCCCAGTCCGGGAAGTTTATACTGTCCTAATTCCAATAGTAGTTGGACTTATACGTATTCCATCAAAATTTACAATATAAAATTATGAAGTATTTCAAGTATTTAAGCAATAATATGTTGATGTGAATTTTGTTTTAAAAGGTATATCACATTAGGCCATTCCAAACTAATAATTAGTTTAACGTTCTTTCTGGCTGAAAAATTTGAGGGGGGGAGGGGAGGGAATAATTTAAACAAACATGATTTTTAAACATCAAAATTTCTGAAAGTTTTCGGTAAAATCGGAAATATTCGGTACACCTAGTTTTTAATAGATGGACTGTCAGTAATTTACTTGTTACATTTTCATTAAATAAATCATCAATATTATTTTTTATATCCTTATTGTAATAATTAATAATTATATGATTTTTTTGATAGATTTCATCTACAGCAATAGTAAGCTGATATTCGATATTCGTAAAGCCTTTTTTACGCCTATATCTTTGTGGTTATTATTTATAAGATATTCCCTGATTTTTCATTCTTTTTACATCATTTGACTTCATTAAATTGACTAAATCTAACATTTTTAAATAGCAGTGGGGATGTTATTTCTCATTAAGAATAAAACTTTAGAAAAAATAAATTCTCTTCATAATCGTTGATCTGTTTTATGAATCATTAAAAATTTTCTTTTCCGATACTTCACAAAAAAAAAAAAATTGCGAATTTGAATTTTAAAATTTTTTTAAAAAAATTAGATGACTACATCATCCGGTATCCAATTTGCATCAACATTTTTATTCTCAAATTTATCATGTTAAAAAAAAAAAAAAAATTAGAAATATTGAAATAACATTTTAATTTCTGTAAAACAGACAAATTTTGATAAACTTATTAAATATATCTTAATTTTTTTTATCGACTTAATAATAAATAATATAAACATAGAGATTATTGCTTATTTTACGCTTAAATCACTTAAATTTGATTTTTGGAGGATATCCGTTGGTCTTAAACCGATACATCTATCTATTCCTTATCAAATATATAAATACATATAGTACTTCCTTAAATATAGTGAGAGAGTAAATTTCTTAAATTTCTTGGTTTAATTTCAAACAATAATTCGTCACCAGCAGCTATAATACAAGAAAATCAATTTCTTGGTCTAATTTCAACTATTAAGTTGAGACATTTAATTATACTGCCGTCACTGGTAATTTTAATAGGATTATTCATATCCACTAAATTAATTTCATATTTTCTAAACATTAAAGCCATTAAACAAACTATTCCAGTCATTGATAACTTTCTTCCTGGACATAATCTTAATCCTCCACCAAACATAAGAAAAGAATTCTTCTTTGGCTCAAAATTTTCAACCATCCACCTATCAGGGTTAAATTTATTAGGTTCTTCCCAATATTCATCATTATTATGAATAGCTTTAGAATAAATTAGAAACAATGAGTCAGCTGGCCAATGATATTCCCCCGTTTTATTAGGTTTATCAATATATCTTGTAAATGAATGTACTACTGGAATAATGCGAGCTGTTTCCTTTACAATTGCTTCACAATAATTTAAACTATAAAAATCATCTTTAGTAATTGGTCGCCTTTTATCACCTTGGAATACATTATCAATTTCTTTTAGCATTTTCTTTTTTACATCTGGATTACATACAATATAATAAACAATGAATGAGAGTAAATTTCCAGTCTATATTTGAAATAAAAAATGAGTATTTAAATTAATTTCAAGTTAAAGTACATTGCATTTCAATGATTAAAGTAATGTATAATAAAAATTTCCTTAAAAAGATTTACTTACTTTAAAAGTTCCACCACTAATTGCTTCTTGTATACTAAGGCAAATTTCAGCATCAGTCATAGATCTCATGGCTTCACCAGTTTCGATATAATTATTATCACGAATTGTATTTTTGATAATCATCGATGTCAACATATCATACGATAAAGATTCATTCAATGGTGTATATTCAATTTCTTGTCTTCGATTCTTAATCAATTCATCCAATCTTTGATTAACATAATTGAAGGTTTGTTTTATTTCATCTGCTTTCTTTCTAACAAATGGAACATTATGTCGTATAAAAGAAGGAACTACGAAAAACACTGAATATCCCATAACTAATCTACGTAATGCTTCAAATAATCTCACAGAATCTTCAACTATTGCTGATGGATAATCAGTTTTTTCGTCACTAAGAGTATCAAAATAAGCTGCCATTGAATAAGATCTTTTACCAGTTAACAATTTAATAATAAAATCATTTGTGTAATGATAAACCCATTCAGAAAAATCCAATTTATTTTTATGTTCTCTAATAATTTCTTCCTTAAGGAATAACTTAATCCAATAACTTTCTAATTCATTGAAAAGTTTGTTTGTCTGTTTAATAGCTTCATTAGTAAATTTTGGTGACAAAATAGCTTGATTAAAAAAATGATTATTAAACATCCATGATTTATAATTATTATTGAACGTTAATCCTTTTCCGTAAAGCCCCAATTCTTCTGTTCCTTCGCATTTTGGATATTTCATTGCATGTGTATTTTTTGATAAAATGTTTTCAAGGTATTTTTCTCGACATAAAATTATAGATCGCATATTTACACTATAAAACTCGTATATGCCACCATATTTCTCGTAACAATAATCATAAAACGTTATGATATTTCCTTTAAACCACAAAATTTGAGGCAAATTACCAACGAACGGGAATGGGAATGGACCAGGTAAAGAATTGATACGAGTAAAATATTTGTAATAATAATATGCCACATATGTCATTAACATTGCTGTTAAGAATAAAATGCAATCATAAATTCCAAAATTCTCAAATAGTTTAAAAATCATTTTATTTTTTTTTCAATTAACTTAGGATTAGCTTAATGTTTGATTTTAATTGATTTTTTTTTTTTTTGTAGACGCTGTTGCGCCACGGTATACTTTTTTTGTTTACTTTGTTCAGCTTCTTTTTTTCAGGTATTTTTATATCCTTTAGTAAATTTCAATTATTGGAGAACCAATGAGACCTGAGGATGGTGAAATTTTAATACCTAAAAATAACAATCCATTATTTTTACTAAATTGAACTAATTTGATTCAAGATGTGTGATCGTCAAATTGTATAAAATTGATCTTTGCATGTGTTAATCTTCCTTCAAATGCAGATCTTTTTTTTAATAACAAATTAATATTTTAAAAAGGATTTAACGATAAGTCACATTAAATTTCGTGGTACAACCTGAGTAATAAAAATTATGAAGCTGTTTGATATATATGTCTTGGTAAGCAATATTTTTTTTTTAGTTTGTTTTTTTTTTTTTACATGGAAATGCTTTATAAATATAAATTTATGAATTTCCACAAAATTAATATTAATCGAAATAATTACTTTATTTTTACTACCGGTAAAGTAAAATCATTTAAAAAGTGGAGATTGAAGGAAATGTATTTTAACAGTAAGATGTTCATACTTTTTTCAATATAATAAACAGGAAACTCGTCCTCTGAGGAGCATCAACACGTGATATCTTATTAGGATCGTCAGAAAAATTTAGTTATTCTGTTACCATTTTTGTTTACTCCGTAAAATATCCATATGAATGGCACAACAATGTATCCTATCTTTACACATATGTATATATCAGATCCATCTATTAATTTTATTAATTTTAATCATCATCAATATGAATAGCTTTAAATATTACTGATATTACTAGGAACAATGTGTTCAGCTGACCGCTGGTAACCTATTTTCATGAGCGTTTATCAACACATGAGAATGTGGTTTAGGTGTCTGGCCAAAATCTCAAATTTCGCTTGCCCGACTAACACAATTCTGACAAACATAAATCCCGAAAGTTCATTATCAAATTCCCGACAATTCATTATTCCGTCAACACATCTTGCAAATGAGTGTACTGCTGTGAGAACGTGGTTTAGACGTCTGGTCAAAATCCCAAATTCCGACTAACACATGACAAACATAAATCCCGAAAGTTCATTGTCAAATTTTCGACAATTCGTTATCCCGACACAGGGGTCGCCATTATTATCCCCTGATCGGCACCATTTACACGATTAGTTATACCTACTGGGTAGCAAATTTTATATGTATTTGTTTATCCGTTTCTAGGAATTTTTCGTAAAAATTAACTATTGATTATACTAGGACTGATTTGAAAATTTGAGTAATTCGGAAAGATTTGCATTTAAAAACTATTTTTCAAGTGTAATAGTAATGGTTCCGAAACTTTCTAAAATTAATTATTTTTTAAAAATCTTTTAAAATGGAAAAAAAAAACCAAGCGAAAGAAAAATAAGATTCAACAATAAAATATACTATAAAATATACTATATTATACTCACGATATACTATAAAACACTTGCTATTGTGTAAATGGCAGGGGATAAATCAATTATCTCTTGGCTAATTGGAATAGTAAAATTTTACCGCTGAAAGACCTCCTAATTAGCCAGGAGATAAGTAATACTTAAATGGCAGCATAATTCCCGTATGAAAATCACGATGAACCATATTATATTGTTTTATAATAACATAAACATAATAGAGCTGGTTCGATAGAAATAATAGTTATATACTGTATAATATTTATTATTACAATATGAAATCAGCTGTAATAAAAACTTTTGTTATGGTCAGGTCGTACGACAATAATACTATATACGTGGGCATGTGATCGGTGATCGGCAAATAAAATTTTGCTACAAAATTTTTTAACCAATCACCCATTAACCATGTGAAAATAAGTGATATGCTCTCTCTCTGTATTAAATATAAATAATAAAAAAAATAATTAATTTTAATTAATAAAATTTAAAATTAATAAAAAAACAATTAATTTAATTAATAAAATCTGTTATTATAAAAAAATCGTTTGATCATTTTCGGCGTAATTAATGACCATTTTTAGCACCAATTTCCGATGGAAAAAAAAAATAATAATAAAATTTTTGATTGTTTTTTAATTTATCATTTACTACTAAAAGTAAATCTGTATATGTATCGTTCCCTAAAAACTTAAGAGTAACTTAAAATCGTAATTCCACAATTTTGCGAAAGAAAAAAATGATGCTCATAATTATAATAATGAAGGAGAGGGTTTTGTTATATGTCAATACTTTCAAAAATATAATATATGAGAATAATCATGCCCTATAAAAAAACTGGATACGTTTTTTATAAAGTTTTTATAAGATTTTTTTTCCTTAAAAATAACGTATCATGAGAGGATACGGAAAAATGCAATTCCGTATCACAAAAACGTATCATTTGCACGATTTTATCACGGAATTTACACTTATTTGGTTACTGAATTTACATGGTTTAGTCGCAAATTTATAATGATTTAGTCACTGAATTTACACTATTGTTTACTAGTACTTTATTAAATAAAATACAAATAAAGTAAAATACAAATATGAAAAGTCCATTCCCTCCCAAAAATCTTTATTAAAATAAAAATACCATGCATACCAACGTATCTATAAGATATTTGAAGTAGTCCTAAGAAAAAAGCTGTTCTTACAAAAATATACAAAAAAGAAATAATAATATATTTCTTTGATACAAATGAAAACCCTAATTTAAAAGCCTAACTTCCCTTATATTAATTAGATCTAAGTCCAGGTTCGTCCAAGTTTCCACTTTCCAAGAGTCTAACGACCTGAAAAACAAAATAAAAAAAATGTATTAAAAGAATATTAATTACTTTTACTCAAACTCCTTCCTATATAGTACCTACAGTATCCCAGGCTCGTCTAAGTCTCCAAAAGTCCGGCAACCTAAAAAAAAGAAGAAATGTTACTACATTTCTAATTAATATATTAACTCCTTCTATTTAATACATACAGAAAGTCTGGGTCTCCAAGAGGCAACGTTCCTATGAAAAAGAAGCTCAGTGTCATAAAAAAGGAAGAAGTCCTAGCGTCCTACACGTCGTCCTACAAGAAAAGAAATCAAACCACCCTACAAAAAAAAAGAGGGAAACCAAAAAATCCTACAAAAAAAATAAAAAATAAAAAATAAAAATTATAAAAAAAATTTTTTTTAAAACACTTCTAAAAAGGGGGAAGACAAAAACAACGAGATGGAAATAAATGAGAAAAAATTTTTTTTAAAAAAAAACCAAAGGGGACGAAGTGATATAAAAAAAATATTATAAAAAGAGGGAATGAAGTGGAATCTATAAGAAAAAAAAAATTATTTTTTTTTAAAACAAAAGCACGAAGTGGAATAAAAAAGAAGTGGGATAAAAGATAATAAAAAAAAGATCGGTGATCTAAATAAATAAAAAACGTATTACAGATCATAACAATAAACAATCACGTGGTCACATGTTATGGTACGGGAATGGAAATACGGAATAATGATAATTATTAAGTTTAAAAATTCAGTATAAATTCCGTATACACAATTTTCATTCCGTATACATTAATTTTTTAAAAAATCTTCAAAAATAAATTACTTATGAAATATACGGAATTGTGATACGGAATTTAAAAAACCACGTATAAAATGTATACAAAACGTATCATTTCCGTACATAGATTTTTTATAGGGATGTAATTATATAAGTTTATTGATAAATTGGATATTAATAAAAAACGTATGGTTTTAAAAGTTTTACAATTTTAAAAATTATATTATTTAACAATAATATGTTTGTTTTACCATAGCAAAAACTGAGTAAAATGTGAATCATAATAAAGGCATCTTTGGATATTAATAAAAAACATGGTTTTAAAAGTTATACAATTTCAAAAATTATCGTCTATGATTATTATTTAACAACAATATGTACTCTTGCTATATGTTTTAACATAGCAAAAACTTGAAAAAAATGTTTATCACAATAAGGGCATTTATCTTCAATTTCATTACATTCCTATGAAAAAAAAAAAATTAAATGTAAATAAAAAGATAGAACTTTGCAACATAAAAGCAATAAAAACAAACATATACCTGTGAAACAATATTTTCAATTATTGATATGTTTAAAGTAAAACCTGGTAAAGTGTCACCCCCATCTAAATCTTCCCATTTACAATTATTACGAATAATTTCATTATTATTCTTCTTATAAGTACATATCATGCTTTTCTTTGTATCAATTAACCATCCTAGCTCTACAGACGTACCCATTGCAAAGTAATCATTTTTGAATCTATTATCAACTTCATTAAGTATTTGATCACTTGTACTATTTACAACCTCAGCAACAAATATGGGAGTAAAAGGTCGGCCATGCAAAGTCCAAAGTTGTTTTGCATTAAGTGAGTTGTAAGTATCTGCAGACGTAAAAGCAACGTGTGGTGCTCGGATTTTTCTTGGAGCAGTGGTACTAAAATTAAAAGCCCCTTGAGATGTAGTAACAACACCATTTTGGCAGGTATCAATATTCCAGTTACCAAGTTGTCTGGAAATCTCATGTACAACAGCCTCATGAGCAATTGGAGTTTGAGGAAGAGAGATTAGCCTTCCATCTTCAAAATTAGTACGAACTTTAAGATATTTGTTAATTTGTTCAAGTTCCTCTGGAGTGTAAGTACGGGTGAGATTCAATTTGTTTAAGTCTAATGAAAGAGAGAATTAGTATTAAAAATGTTTGGTGCAAAAGTCAAAATTGTTTCTTAATCACAAATCAAAAATTACTTTACCAAGATTTTCAGGTTCTGACATGTTGCTTAATATGGAAACTGCTTAATATGGAAATAATATGGAAACACTGCAAAACTGCAAAATATTTAATATGCAATCTGTTTGGCTTGTGAATCGTTCATTTATATACTTTTATTCTTACACATACTTGGTCAAAATTGCAATTTTGTAGTCATTATGATGACAAATGTTTTATATAGAGATCTTGTTTCATATGATAGTTTTTTTTTACTATGTTTCAAATTGGTATCTTATTATAATATTAGGAAATTGAGCAATAACGTTACCTATCTTAATAATAATAATAATCGAGTTGATGTTAACTTGCATAACTGATGATTAATTTTCACAAAAATCGAAATAGAATTATACATTTTTATACAAGTACATATTACCGAAATAGTATAAAATAATATGATTCACTATTTATTTCACGACAATACAAGATGTAACAATTAATCACCTGGCCCACATTACAGTATAACTCCGGCCATTATGTTTATACATCACGTCATGTGTTTACGGTGAAATGATTGTTGTCAAACCGTCTATCGGTCACTGAAACTTCCCTGTAATTCGTAAATATATGATACATTTATGGAAGAATCTCAGTAAGCAATTAAGGTAATTTCCATGTTTTGAGGCAATAAATTTTGTGAATATGATACATTCGTGGTAATGACATGGAATAAGAAAACACGGAATATATGGCTTATATTTACCAATCAGTTTTAAGGCCCTAAAGGTCAACATGATTGCGAGGTCCTAGATGCCTCAGGCATAGGTGTTTATACAAGACCTTAAAATTACGTGTACTTCTATTCTTTTCCGACTGTTTTCTTCACGAAGCAAGGAGCGAGGTATTTACATAAGGAAGGTCATTCAAGCTTTCCAAAGTGCGAAGGAACAACCAAAGAAAACTAAAGAAATATATCTCTACTTTCTTCATAAACTTTCCTTCTGACAATACTTCTAGTAGAATATACTCTCTATACCTGGCTAGTTAAATTATTATGTTTTTTCATTTGCTACTACTTTATCTTCATGTCTCGTAGAGATTAACCAAGTCTATTTTTGCAATTCTTTCTTTATTAGCGAAATCTTGTTCTATGTTACATCAATATCATTACATTATGGTTTCCAAATACAAACCATGTTTCATTCATTCATTTTACCATAATTATAAGAAACTTCATTTGTTTTACTTTAAAGTGATTTTTTAATAAAAATAATATTTAAATAATCTTTAACTAACTTTACTATCGTACATATTTTATAAAAAGCAAATACGTCTAAATAACAACTCATGAAATTTTTATAGTAAATAAATAATAACAGATATTATTAAAATTTTGTTTTAACAAGAGAAGGATAAACAAAGCAATTCTTAAATGATGTAATTGAATAATCAAGAATTATTCTGATTAATAAGGGCACTGTCAGATATTACCTAATATCACTTTAATATAAGAGCTTACCCCCCCAGGTAAGATATGTTATATATATAATTCCTTATATAATATTGTATGTAACCAAGATCTTTAGTTACCCCCCCTCCTCTCCTCCCCCTAAAATATTAGGTAATATCTGACAGCACCCTAATAACTATTATTATTTAATATTAAGAACGCTCCCTATGGATTTACCAGACGGAACTAGAAATAGCTAAACCGAAATTTCCTTTGATGATCATATAATTAGAAGTTCCTGAAACAACAGTTGAAGCTTGAGAATATGATATTTTTTCTTCTTATAATCTTTCGTTACTCTAAGTTCTTCAACTAATTTGCAATCTGACTTGGATAAGTTGGATTAGGCCTTTATAGATAGTCCAAGCAATCTCATAGTTTCCTCCAAGTGCAATAAAATGATATATATTAAGTAATAGTTTCTCACTTTACAAGGGGTTGGAAAGATGCCAACATAAAGTTTATCATATTTCGTATCTTCCATACTATCGGAAATAGTCTCAATTGAAGCCCTAGATGCAATATTATGATCACAAAAAAAATATTTGAACATTAACAAAAGAACTGAATAAAGTTGCCTTTATAAATAATTTTAGTTGTCATATTTTTATTATTGTAATCTAAAATAGTAATAAATTTCAAGTTGCATTTAGACCGAATAAATTAAAAATATTTTTTAAACTGAATTAACTATTGAAGTTATTATAATTATACCGAAGCGAAGCATTGTATAAAATGATCTGCGTATTAAATTTAACAAAACACAATATATTTGTAATTGCTTTCACAAAGGCGAGATTTTAAAGGTTCCGAACTCGTAAGTTTAATAATTTTTTTCTTTAAAAAGAAGTGCTCCTTAATTTAAAAATATGAAACCGATTTATTATAATTTTTTTTAGGATGAGCGAAGATATTTTGTATCATATCATAACTATATTACAAGATCAATCATCCGCATTTACTCCTTCACAGCATCATTTAAATATTTTAAAAGTTAGTGAATTCTGGAACGTTGTATTATGTGCTGGCGGGAGCGTTGCAAAACTTAATTCACATCCATTGAATAGTAGTTACCCGAGTATAACTTTCGTCCTGTCATTACTAGAAGAATTTAGTATAGCGTATAAAAGGTGTATATAAAAATTGTTGAATATAAGAAATTAAATAGAACCATGCATTACATATTCAGCATATTGACACGGGCTACTAAACAATAGCAATTTTTTAAAATGAGTTTATTGGTCACTTAAAAGTTTTTAAAATAAAGGGCAAAGTAAAAATTTATTTGAGGATGTGGTATACATTATTTCGCCAATGCTACACTATAATATCATAAGAAAAAAAAAGTTCATTATTTTAAAAGCTTTATTGTTGTGGCTAATGTAAAAATAGAATTATTTCGTCATTATTAATCTTCCCATTCAATTTCTTCATATTTTTCAATATACCAAAAACTATTATCCATACAATATTTGATAATTCCTTCTATTTCATATTTTTTAAGTGAATCAGAAGTACTTCTCCAAGTTATCAAAGGATATAAATGCAGAAATTTTCTACCTCTCCAATTAATAAAAAATAGATCTAAAGTTTTTAAGGAGAAAATTCTTAAATCGATTTGGATTTTATATAAACTAGTTGGTGCTAAACTAACCAATATATAAAAGAACTTTTCACTCATAAACCTTACATTCTCTGCCATTTTTATTAGTAATTCTATTCCTTCTAATCGCTGACAACTAATTAAAAGCCTTTTCAGTTCATCTAGATTCTGATTATTTATGAACAATGAAACATATTCAATATTCGGACAATAGTTAATTATTGCTCGTATATATATTATTGTATTGTTAAAATCACTGCTTTCAATTTTAACCTTCCAAAGATTCCCATTAGTATTCTCAATAATCTTCGTAGCTATAGAAAGTGAGATACTAGTTAATTCAAGTACTTGAAGATTAGGAAAAGATGCCATTTCTAATTGCTTCTCAAATAATCTTTGTTCAACGCCAAGATCATTAATCAATTTCAAAGTTTCTAAATTTATTAATTGTGGAAAAAGACAAAAGGGAAAAGATCTATCAATCCATAACATAAAATAAAGAATTGAATCAGCATGTTTCACCAAAGCTTGAAAGATTCTTTTGTGTTTGTTCTCTCCACTCACTTGTTCCTTTTTACTTTCATTTTTATCTTTAAATCCATAATCATTATCATCAACATAAACGCATAAATATTTAATTCGGGTTTGCATTTCAATTAAATGTGCAATCCCAGAATTGCTTTCAAATAACATTAGAGAAATTTTTTCTATTGATCTGCATATCTGTGCCAATCCATAATAAAATGATAATTCACTACATGACATACATTGTAATTCTTTGAGTTTTGAGAGACTAACATTTGCTCCTGGGAATGTATATATTGGATATTCGCTGACCATAGTACTCAAACGCTTTATAGCATAACATTTACTGATAAAAAGTTTAATAATTTCTTGATTTAAAATTGCATATTGAGAATCGGTTAAATTATGCGATTCATGAAAATATTTACCATAGCAAATATATTGACAATATTTGATATAATCAAATAAAAGTTTTTGTCGTTGTTCTGGAATAATATTGATGCCCTTGCTTATTAAATGATTTCTTGATGATTCTGGTAAATGAAAAAGAATAATTCTCTCAAATAATGTTCCTCTTTTTAATCTTTCTTCAATATCTCTTGAACGTAAATATTTATACGGATCTCTCCATAAGATTGAGACTACCAGTTCACACAAAAGTTTATTAACGGATAAGCAAGAATATAGTGATTTTCTATCATTTATTAGTTCTTGTAAAATTAAGAAAAAAATATCATCGTTAAGTTTTGACATTTTTACAGTCATTTATTTTTTTTTTTATTTGAGATTTTTTTAGGAGAGTCATCACGAAGTAGAATTCTAAGTTGATCATTATTTATAGATTTAACGACACCGATCACCATTTTTGGGATGTCTAAAGTCGCGTTCGATCACGTGAAATACACGTACCTTGATTGGTCACTACAAATAGCCAGGCATTACGATTGGCTTATGGTCACGTAAACGAACATGACCCCATTTCCATATTTTTTGGTAATTTATCTAATTTATCTATTACTATAAGACGCTTTTACGGACAACCTAGAAAATTAGGACGTGATATTAACCTCCTATGTCTATTTTTCCGAAAGGAATTCCTGACCAACATTGTTATCTTTCTTTCAACGACAATTTCATCATTGATCGAGACATCAGAAAAACTTTAAAAAAATCTTTGAATTACCGTATATTAGAATCTCACATTTCTCATCGCTCGTTATCGATCATTAAGCGATACGCCCTCGACTATACTATAGATTGGGAATTTTCACAACTTTGGATCAAACATAATCCTTTTGATCGACCTACAAGCATACAACTTAGATTTACCAGTTGGAAAATAAAATGTTCTACACACTCACTACCCACGTTAGATATCTTATTTAGAAACTATCCTGATTTATTGAAAGGTTTTACCTCATGTTTTTTTTGTAACAACGATTTTGAAGATAACCAACATCTATGGACATGTTCTAAGATTCTCGACATACTTCGCCCCATTTTCAAAAACTTTCACGACACCTACAAAATTATTATTGTCAACAACTCCGACCGATATTCTACTTTATACGAAGATGCTATCAAATTTGCGCTATATTTAATTGGACCGAACGTACTTTAACGAATATCACGGATAATCTACATTTACATTGCTCACTCTTAAATTTAATCCCTAAAGAGATTATTTATCCTTTCAAAGCTGTTGGTATAGGTAAATCTCGTATGAAAAAGTTATCAATCAACTTTTTATACGACCTTCACAAAGACATTTACGAAGGGAAAGAACGCTCCATTATGTGGAAAGAGACCAAAAAACGTCTTAACATCACCAAATCTTCATTCCGTGATTATTAACGTACACATCCTAACGACACTACACGAAAACGTACGCATCACGACCGAAATCTTAATAACTCCATTATAGAACGTGGCTATCGCCACCCCTTTAATGATTCACGACGAGCGCTTGACAACTCTATATTATGGATCTATTTAACATCGTCAAATTTTAGACATAATCTGCCTTGGCTATCATCTTTGGATGTTGATTTATCATCTATTTCTTTTTATTCTCATTATAATTTGGATCTATTTTACTTTCTAATATATATACCCATCGGACTAGTTTTCTTTTTTTTCTTTTTTTTTGTAGTTTTATTATTCTCGTATGGTTTTTTAGTGCTAGTAGTAGCATAGTTTTATTACTAGTATAGTTCAGTTCGAAGGGTGAGGTTTTGCTTTTGGTGGAATGAATAATGTACTTCTACTTGTTAGATTTCCCTGTGATTTTTTTCGCATATCTTTTGTAACAGATAACATTTACTACTCTTTTAGAAATAAATAAATAAATAAATAAATAACTATTACTATAATCAGACAATCTTGTCCGACCAATTTTATATGGGGTTTTTTTTCATGAAGTTTTGCATAATTACATAATTTCAGAATAGATTTTGGGTTTCAATAACTTAAATTTTAATTTAACCAACTTCTTATTAATAAGAATTTTTCTTATCGTATAAAGATGAATACTTAGTTGTTGATGACTCATACTTTTAAAACTATAATATCATCAGAAATTCTCGGTTTTAACATATAAATAATAAATATTGAATAAAAGATAATCTAATATTAAAGTAAGCATTCTGAAATCCAGACACATTGCAACACATCTTTTTTCACTAACGTACTTTTGACCGGCGCCATTCAATCTGCTTATAATTTATATGAGAGGAATATTACACTACCGATTTATTGTCACGTTAGAAATGATTTTTTTAAAAAAATAAAAAATAGTATAAACAATAATAATATATTTGAAATTCTTTTGACTAGCTAGTAATAGAAAGCAATTGAAAAATCTTGTCGATTAACGAATGTCGTCAAATAATAGGAGTCGGTAATTTCCATTTTATATATTCGCAACTTTTAATTTCATTGCTGATCGACCAAATTTATAATAAGACTCCAGATAGGATTTTTAATTTGGGCCAGCATTATATATTTGATCAGCACTACAGAGTACAGATTTATTTTGTACAACATATATCTTAGAAAAATTTTTGCGGGTTTTTCAAGAATATACATTTCGAGGCGAAATAACGCAAAATACTAAAAAAATTAAGGTGAGAACTGTTGAAAATAATATTCTATTGCGGTCTATTTTATCAATATATCCACTATTTTTAGATTAGTAGTACAAAGTTATGTTATCGAATATTTTTTGGTTATGTTCTTGGGCAATTAGCTGTACGCAGGGTTTTTAATAAGTATAGCACGTATTATTGACATCTGATATTAAAAATCCTGTAAAAATACGTTTATATATTTGTTATATATTTGATTTATTAAATGTACTGTACATCCTTACCATACTGTATACAAGTTATAACAATACATCATGGTCTGTATAAATAATTATTTAAGCAAGCTAGCTAGGATAATGAAAAAAAATTTTTTTATGTGACCTGCTAAATTAATAATTCAAATAATTCATAAACTGTACGCAAATAAAAACCTTACTCTACTATTATGGTGACGCATCATTGGACCCACCCCTATATATATATGAAGAAACTAAATTGATTCATTTTCGTTAACTATTTATAACATGCGGTATATAATTTGTTAGTATTATTCATTCACGATTTCATTATAATAAAGACAAATAATCCTTTTAATAAAATAGAATTGAAATTACTGTATGGAGTATATGCTCATCTATATATAATAATAAAATTACGGTGAATATACTAATTAAAATTTGATTTTCCGGAAATATGAAGTTCAACCAAATGTGAATCTGGAACTACAATAAGTATGATATCATTTAAAAAAAGTTAGTAAATACATAAATAAATACAAAAGAATTAATAAATATTTATATATAAAATCTACCTTCTGGATCTTCAACGGAATTTCTTGGTACAGGAAGATTATGAAAACACATAGAACGACCAGAATAAATTGCTTCAGAATGTTTTAGTATTTCAGGAAAGGATTTTTTAAACATAATGTTATCTGCATCAATAAATTCTTTAAGAATTTCTGGTTCATCAAAAGATTTTTCGAGACGGGAATAATTATCGTTAGGAAATCTCCAATTTCTAATTGTTTTAAGTAACACTTTTGAAGAGGGCCTTTTTCCTGGATTTACATCAAGACATTGGTTTACCAAATCGATATAACATTTTGGTGTCCCTTTAGCTACTCTTGGTCTCAAACCATTGCATATTTTCAATGCAAGATTTCCATCATGCGGTACATTTCTGTAAGGTGATTTTCCGGTTGACACTTCTGTCATTATAATTCCGAAACTATAAATATCGCTTTCTAATGTATAAGATTTACCATCTAATATTTCAGGTGCTATGTAAGGAAGAACCCCAAAAACGTTTGAACAACAAGAAGATTTTGAATTTGTTATTGATTGTGAAAGTCCTAAATCAGTTATTTTTGTACCAAAACCACCGATATAAAATTGAAGTATGTTCCCACTATGCAAATCTCTATGTATATATTTTAATTTGTGAATATTAAAAAGATTATTTGCAATACTTATTAAGATATTTAATTTATCTTTCCATTTTAAATTTATGAAGTTGTTTTCAAGGTAATTTCTTAAATTTCCTTCATGAGCATATTCTAAGATCATAAGAAATTCATTTGTTGCGGGATCTTTAGTTATTCCATAAAATTTCGTTAAATTCGCATTGTATAATACACAATGGTGATGTATGTTAATCTAATTAAAATAAAATATTATTAATATAGCATATATAAAGCAAAATTAATTATCAGTGTATCAAACAATCAAATACCTCATTAACGAAAGCTTCTGTCGTAAATTTTGTATCTTTAATTCTTTTTAAAGCAATAGTAATTGGAGGAGACCTCTTTTTTTCTCTATTAAGTTTAGGTTCACCATCTAGCCAAATAGCAGAATATATTTTAGCAAACCCACCTTCTGCAACAAGTTTAATATCTTGAAATTTATCATAAGATATCCATTCTAAATTACTGTAATAAGATTGTGTCTTGATTTGCGCTTGATAAATTAGTTGGTTTATTTCAGTGTTTCCACTTGATTTTCCTTCCCTCAAAAATTTACCTGGATCACATTTCTTACACCATGCATATCCAGTATTTATTTTTTTGCAATTAGGACATACACCATAATAATCAGCATTGTATTTTTCACATTTAGTTGGTTCAATTGCATCATAGTTATTACAACATTTTTCTTCAGGGGTGTAATGTTGTTTAAATTCACGATTTTGTAAGCAATAAGTATTATTCCGGGAGTGAAATTTACTAAATTTATTTTCTAAATCACGAAGTACATATTTCCAAATGGTACCATTCGATGTTCGATGTTTTTGAATAATAAATATTTTTTCATCTCCTAAAAAATCGGGACATACTATCAAAGAAGCATGTTAAATTACTAAATTTAGTATATGTTTACGTGAAAAAAAGATAATTAAAGATAAGAACTACTTACAATCCATATCGAGAATTCTATTTTGCTTCGAGTACCAAACCATTTTAATTTTATCTGCAGAACGAAGTTTACCAAATTTATTTTTCAAATCACGGATTACAGATTCCCAAATCATATACGAATTTTGGTATTTTGGAACCCGTCTAATAATAAATTTTTTTTCATCATCTCCTAAGGGATCGTGACATTCTTGATCATGATACACTTTTTTATTAAAGAATTGAAAAAAAAATATATATATATTAATTATTTTTTTCTTAAAATCAAATATAATACGTATGTATACACTTACAAGTTAGGTCAAAATTCCATGAATGCCAAAAGTCTCTGACTTTATTTATAGAATGTAGTTTGCCAAATTTCTTTTCTAAATCACGGATTATGAATTTCCAATCAATAACTTTTGATCTTTGTTGTTTTTGAGCTTGTTCAACAATAAAATTTATTTCATCATGCGTTAAAGGATCGTGACATACTAATAGAGTATAAGTATAAAAGATAAACTAAAATTAATGTAATTCTTTTTTTATTTAGAAAAGAATAAACAAAAAATAAATTAATATTAATATATAAATTCACATACAACGCGGATTGAGATGGTTTTTCCAGCTAAAATTAAAAAAAATCATATATGTCGATGTCTTCGATAAAGAAAGAAAGAAAGAAAATAATTTATTAAAAACTTACTAATAATAAATGTGTCTGTCTGTAAATCTTGCGTATGTGCTCTGAGTTAATTTTCTAATTGACGCAAGACATTCATAAGAATTTTCATGCTCTTTCAAATATTGTTTGACAATTTCACCGTCCTATAATAAAAAATAATTTAGTATATATTTTAGCTAGAATTATTTTTTAAAATAAATAAATTAATAAATAATGCATTTTTATACTTCTAATGTAAGAATTGCTTTCTTTGACATTTTACAATATATAATCTTTAGAAGTGAAGAAGAAAAATTAAAATAATTGGATTTTCTCTACAAAAACGTAGAAAGCGCGTTTAAATATTTCATTTTAAAACAATTTTTTTGTTGGTCAAAACTTTAAATTAAAAATGGTTAATCCGAATTTTACTCACCATTTATTATTTACCACAGGATATAACATTACACCACTTCTGCATTACACCTGTATAAACATTTGGGATCTAAACTCATGTAATATATTTCAGCTTTAAAAAATATCTGGAATATATGATTGCATCCATGTACAGTATATACGCCCTGATGTAAACATCATTCAAAGTAAGTAATTTAGTATTACATTGATTCGGACAGGCTAAGGTTCAACACATGATCATGTGTAATATAGTTTAAAAAATTCCTATTTTGTTAAGTTCATAAGGGTTTATTTGTTTTTTTTTTCTTTTTTTTAAAAAAAAAAAGAAAATGGTGAATTCAAATTGATTTTTGAATGATCAAGAAATCTCATTTATTATCAGTATTAAGAAAAATTTTGTTTCAGCCCCTGCTTAGTGTCCTTCCACAAACATTAAAATGATTTCCTTTTAAAATGATCCACATGCATACTGCAGTTTTTTTATCATACTGTACATTCTGTAGCACGACAGACTTACACAAATTGCTAATTAAATAACGATTATTGAATGCGAGATGGATGTCTTCGGAGTTGACATTTAAAATTATTATTTCTTTCTTATTTTGCCTTATTTAAACTGTTCAATCCGTAGTACAGTATTGGCCAGTGATGTGCATTTGTACTTCCAATAGTATTTGTTGGAAGTTTCCAATCCTGGTTTTATTAGAAAATTATACTTCCAATCTTTCCAAAGATGCTTCCAATAGTGCTTCCAATCTTCCAAGAGCACATCACTGAACTATTGCGGAAAATAATTGGAATTTATAGAGTTTAATTATTAATTAGAAATTTTTCTCTTTTGGAATATTGATTTTGATCACATTTATAGACTTAATTAAAGGAATTATACTCTTAATATATTAACAAATATGCGACAACATATCTTCAATCATGTTTTTGAAGAAATTTAGATCCCTAGATGTTCGCATTTGAAATAATTTGAACATTAGTTGGGTATTACAAAAAACAATTTAAAAATTATCGTTCTTTACCTACAAATAATAATAATAGATTAAATAATATTTGATGCTAGTGCTCCTACCGGGTCAAGTCGGGTCGGGTTTTGAGGAAATATTCGACCCGATCTGAATAAAAAAATATAAGACTCGTATTTATTCGGGTCTCATATTTTCGTAACCCGACCCTTGACTCGACCGAGTATAATTTAACTCGTGTAACCCGGGTTAGACCCGAACATTTAAGTAAAATGGGTACTAACTTATAT